AATTTCAGAAAAGTGCAAATTTCAAGGCACTAGAAAATCGCGTTGATTTTTAAATAAAATATAAAATAAAAATATGCTCGACAATTACTTTTATATAGAGGAAAATACCTAGCACCGTCAGCAAAACAAAATATTAAAAATCAATACGATTTTCTTAAGATTTGCACTTTAATCTACTAATACTAATATTTGTAAGAAGTTAGAAATGTTGATTTATGTTGTGCTTTTTATGTAAATTCTAGCTTTTATAAAGAATTATAAACATTAAATAAACAAAAGAAAAATAACCAAAACTGGTCAAAATGTCACTTAAATTAAACAGCTGACCACAAGTGTACGTACATGGAACATTTTGAACGCTTTGAGCGACCTCTAAATATTTTTTGATTTCAAAATAAAAAATAGGAATATATCTATTTCTATATAGAACAATCTAGAGCACTGAAATTCCGATTTTACATTAATGGGCAACCCTAATGTATACACTTACATTAGTAAGAAATTTCAAACAGATTACAAAATTATTGTTCAATAATAAAGAACGTCAGATAATGTGGAGCCATCATGTCAGTCTGGCGCACACATTGCGCACCCAGCGAGCTCCTCGTATACTACACTTCAGTATTCACTACTCATATGAGCTGCATGCATTATCATCGTTCATGAGAGGCAGCAACATCATTTGCATTAATTGAAAGTTTTTTGTTGTTGTAATAATTTTGTGAACAGCATTGGAAAGGGCGATGTTATTGTTTATTGTTGGCAATGTTGCTTTTAACATTGTTTTTGTTTAGTAAAAACATACCCGGTTTTGTACTTTGTATGTACATATGTATTTAAAATGTGCTCACAGGTTTTCTGCATTTCTTATAATCATTTAATTATGTTAGCATTGTAGTTGTTGTTTTTTGTCCATGGCGACGATGTCTGTTCTTCTCGATTACCTAGTCTAGTCTCTTACTGCTTTTTTAAGTTATCATTCAAGTGTAAGCGCTGCTATATTTCTTGATAATAAGGGTTATTAAGTGGATTAAATAATGTCGTCAGTAGGACCCACAGCAATAAGAAAAACAGCAAACAGACAAATAAATAAATACGAATATACAACATAAAATGTATGTAACTGTTTCAAACTGCATACGCGAAATAAACTGCAAAAAAATGTATTAAGATCACAATAATTTCATTCGTAAATTGTTTTAAAAAACATGAATAGTTCGATAAGTTTTCTCTCCTTTATGCAACCATATTGGCGCACATATATACATACATATACAGTAGGGTGGTTCTTAAAATATCAGCATCTAAATTGTGTATGTACAAAACAACGACATGCATGAAAGTTTCAAAATTAAAATAAAATATATATTGCTCGCTACCAGGATTAGAAAAAAACTATTTTTTTTAAATCGCGACAATTCGAAAAAAATTTTACTTCTACCAGCAATAACTCAGCGAGTTTATGAATTCATAATTTTCTTGTTTTTTTTGTTATTTTATGACCTTATAACAATTTTATTGAGCTTGAGGCTGTTATTATTGAAAATGTTTGTGGAAAAACAACAATAATCTACACTTTGGTAGATATCCTCATCAGAGTTCTTCAACCGCGGTCACTGGGATATGAACCACTGAGCCAAATTCGCCACGTAAACTATTATTGCTTTTGCCACCTTTATTACCTCAATAAAAAAACGGCCTCAAGTTCAATAAAATTGTTGAATATAAATATGTTTCTAAAATATTTCAGATTTCAAGTTGAAGTTTTGTCGAGTTTTTTTCGATTTAAAAAAATTGTAAATTTTTCAATCCGGGGTCCCGACCCCTAATTTTTGTATTTTTAAACTTGTGTAGATATATTTATTTTGTATGTATAAAAGAATAAAGTGTTGTCGCATACAAAGTTGAGAATTTTATATTTTTAAGGACCACCCCAGTATACAGGTATCTTACACTCAGTTAGAAGAACAATTTCAATGTTGTTAATAAAATATAAAACATATTCAATTGTTAGGGGCTTGTATTATTCCTGAAATTATTAAATGGTTTAACAGTAGACAAGTTGGAGAGTTGAGAAGCAAATATCACACACTCACATCAAAAGAGGCACACTCGAAAAAATATGTAGCTATGTCAAGTTTTTTGCATAAATCAGTTCGTAGGATTTATCTCCAATAAATGCATGATGCTTGGTATTAATTTCGTCGAATCTGTACGATCCGCGAGCAGTTACTTTTCCGGATCTGATATTTGAGTTGTGGAACTAGGCCCGAACTAGTGCCAAAATGGTCTCATAAAAGTCCCGAGCTACTCCTAAAATAGTCATGAACTAGATCCGAAGTTATCCCGAATTATTCCCAAAATAGTATTTTATATTTTATATATTAAATTGTTACTAGATTTATCATACACCTTTTATGTATGGCCGTTACAGAACGAAATTTTTGACCTCATGCAGTGAAAACGCATTTTCCTGGGCCTCTTTCAGTATTTTTAGTCGATTCGATACTCCGGACGTAGTAGGAAAAGATAGTTATTCCCAACTTTTAATCCTGTTCGGAAGAGTTATCTTTCATTCTCTCTTAGTAAGGCATTACAAAATGCCCTAACTCCCGCCCTCAATACCGGCAGGGATAGAACCCACTTTCTTAAACTAGGTCAAGTACCTTGGATTTATTGTAGTCAGAAAACCCGACTATAAGCGAAACACCGAAGACCGCTCCATAAAAGCCATAACCGTTCTGTATACTTATCAGACGGCTTTGTGCAAAAATTCCGGCAAATATGGTACACTGGTGGTCCAGAGCCAAGACGGAATGGGTACAACGGCCGACTTCCATGCTTTTCACGTAACCACTATCATCCACACCCATCAAATCTTTGGAATGAATTTTAGACTTCCCACCAGTGGATCTCTGGCCAATCGTAGGGCTACCAGGCTAAATGCAATCCAGGCTCAGACTCGAACACGCGAAGGTCCTGGAAACTCTGCCGATTATACTACTCCAATACTCTGCTTACACAACAAATTCTCCATAGGAGCCCCAGAGAGGAACCAATGGGAGGGTGGCACAGACTTCGACTCAGGATCAATGGCAATCTATACAGAGGACTCCAAGCTAAATGAAAATAGGCAGAGGGATTCACCACAGTGAACTCGCACTAAACCTTGGTTTTGTCTTGCTGGACCTCTGGGCCAGGTTTTTTTGGCAGAGTTAAACGCCAAAATGGATGCTGCTCGGTGGCTCCCAGCTTCCGCTCTTCCAGAACGCCCTATATATATTTTGGCAGCCAAGCTGCTATTAATAATAATAATAATATATTGGCGCTTACACATATGTTAGTGTTTGGCCGAGCTTCTCCTCAGATTTGTGGCGTGCGCCTTAATGTTGTCACACAAAGCGGAGGGACCTACAGTTTTACGCCGACTCCGAACGGCGATTGTATTTTTATGAGAAGCTGTTTTTAATGGCAGAAATACACTCGGAGTTTTGCCATTGCCTGCCGAGGGACGACCGCTGTTAAGAAACAACATTTTTTCTATATTTTTTGCGATGTTGCTTTGACCAGGGTTTCAACCCAGGCGTTGCGGAGTGGAAGCGCGCACTGCTTACCACTACACCACAGCGGCCGACAAGCTGCTATTAAATATCTTAAATCTAACGAAACAATATCCGAAGTATCGATATAATACAGAAAAATTCTCATCCTGCTTGTGTCTAAATGATCCGAGACTGTTGTATGGGTCGTTGGGCACAGGGACTTTACCGGAGAAGAAAACGGACGGAAGTACTCGTAGTATATTCTGCTTTAATCTCCTGCAAACGCATATTAAAGCCTGAACTAATCGAGGAGCTACCAGATAAATTTGGTATAAAGATCATTTACTTGGATATCCAACCAATGATTTTTGTGTAGGGCATGGAATCCTATCTTTTCCACAGTACGGCCCTGACCACGATGCACAACCAATTCCTCGAATTTCGCAACAAGTACTTTTTAGATTATCTAACCGATGTGAACTAAGCAAACATTCACGACTTCCTGTGCTACATATCTGTGTTCGTATGGAAAAGTAGCTTATGTCGAAGGGCTGGATTTAGTATAAATCGGCATTCGCAGCATGCGATTGCGAATGACTCACAGCAACTGAGCTGTTGAACTACGTTTGGCAAATAAACGTGCCAGAAATAGTTCCGATACTAGCAAGTCATTATTCTTATTGAGTCTCATCGAAAAATTTCTGGGCGTTTAAAGAATAAAGGGAATGCCGCATTATACTAAAGCCAGCGTTTCGACATAAGCTACTTTTCCATACGAACACAGATATATAAAGCGCCTCGGTGGTTCAACTTCTAAGGGAAGAAAAGGAATAAATGGCTTCGGCCGCTAATATCACAACGGGCTTTCTTAAATGATTCCGCTTCAAAATCATTTTTGCCCAAAACCATCGTAGCAGTATAAGCGCGGCCATCAAAAGGCGCCTAAAAAATTCGTAATTTTTGTGTGCTTTTTCCACTGCGTAATTGATTGAAATAAATAAATATTTAAGACTCAAGGCTTCACACATTGAGTAATATCCTAATTCTGCGGACAGTTCTATAAGTTTATTGGTGATACACATACACGCTCGTTACCAATACCTAACAAAAACATAAGCACTATTTTAAATTTAATGGAGACTTGTAATTAAAGGGCGACAGTAAACCATTTATGTTGACATTTGTAATTCCCGGCAAACTTCTATACTGAGTGTAGGGTATATTTAAGTTAGTACATGCATACATACCTAAATTATTCCCATAACATATGTACGCACATACTATACATACATACTGTAATACTGAAATCTTTCATCACCATTTACATCAACATGCCGCTGAGCTCATTTCTTTTAAACAAAAAAACTAACAAAAACCAAACATTATTTTTCTTTTTCCCCCCTTTTTTGGTTCGCTTTTCGTTCGTCGATCGAAAAAAAAAAAAAATTTCCAATATAGTGACTCGACAGCAACAAGCGGTGAGATTAAAAACTCATTAAATGCCGCCGGAAAAAACGTCCCCATAGGAGCCAACGTCAACGCCGACGCCACTGCAATTGGTACTGAGGAGGATGTGCGTCGTAGCGATAAATCGAAAAAGTTCGGGCGCAGCAAATCGAGCGATATCTTAAAAAAAGATGCTGTTGCCTTGCCCTACGATAAGGGGAAGAGTACATTGACACGCCTAAATTCGCTTAAACAATGGGGCAGAAATCGCTTCAAATTTATGCAACGCGCAGAGACACCAGCACAATCGGCCAGCGATAGTGGCGCCCACGATGTGTCGGCGAGCAGCAGCAGCAGTAATTCACAGCAACCGCCTGTCGCCCCCGAAAAAGTGGAGACGAGCGGTGGTAATAATGCCGCAGCCAGTCCAGCAAAGGCAAATCAATCAACGCGCACCGCCACGGGCGACATTGATGATGAATGCGTTGTGCATGAACTGGTGAGCCAGAAGAACGAAGGTCGGTTTTCGCATGAACGAAAACCGTCATATTCGTCATCGGAGAAGAGCATGAGTGTTGGCAGCAGTGGGCACCTCAAAGGTAAACTGCATCTGGCCACCTGTGGTAACGTGAAGCTGCGTGATACCTCATCGTTGAATCGTCAACGGCGACTTGGTATCACCGGCAATGGTGCGCTGGCCGGCAAAGAGGAACAACCGCATTCGTCTAGTGGTAATTGGAGCGCTAGCTCTGAATCGGGTAGGGCATCTATAGGCAGCGAAATTACTATACAACCTAAGTCGAGCGCTTCAAATACATCGCTGAATGTGTCAAGCTTCCATCCGGGTAGCGGGCCGCCATCATCAATGATGAGCAGACGTCGTTTCTTGAATACTTCCGCCTCAAGCAGCGTAACTAGTGAGGGCACTGCCACGCCCGATTTGCAAGTGGCCGATGGCTCATATCCCAATCATCTAGATGATGAAACAAGCTCAGCTTATTCATGTGACACGGAGGGCTATTATACTTCCTTTCACATGGACAGCGGCTTGCGCACGCTGAAAGAAGAAGATCCACCCATGACACCGCTGCAACACAATCAAATGCTGCACACAAGCAACTACTCATTTGGGAGTCAATCCAACCAGACCGTGTTGACGGCTGAGAACGAATATGAACTCTTTGGCAAGGGTTCAACATCCACCACGACCAGCTCAGCGGGCACTGTTTGCACCACCTTGCTGGTGGGTGGCGAGCAGAGTAGCCTAAATAGTGTCGGTCCGGATGTGCCCGAACGCATCAGCTCATTGGGTAAGTTGAACAAGAATAACCACAGCAATAGCGCCAGCACTAGCACGCTTGAGCGCAGTTACTCCAGCAGCACCATAGGAAGCACGTTAGAACGCACTGGCACCATAAAACGCAACGTTAATGCTGGTCTAAAATTAAACACCACTGCGGATGGAGAAAACATTGATGGCATCAAAGGTAACTTCGAAACGCCCGAGTCACAAGAAGATGAATTTGATTTTGAAAAACGCATACGTCGTCGCTCCGCACAGCCGTTACCGGCGATGGTCGCTATGTCTGAGGTGGAATGCTCCGAAAGCTCCGATTTGGAGGGCGTGGAACGTATTGAACGCATTAAACAGAAGACTGCTATTAATGTTAAACGCATACCGTCCATGTGTGTCATAACGCCCACCACTAGCGATGACGAGAACCAAAGTAAAGATGGCGGCGACGCTGATGACGCTTACGACCCAGACCGAACTTTAACGCCACAAAGCTCGCCATGTTCGAAAGCACGGGCGAGAGCAGAAACCACCCTTAAAGTGGAATTAAACGAAGTTGCTGGCTATTGCACTGTTGATGTCGACAATGCGGCGCGCAAAGTGGTAGATGCGCCACTCACCCCCACAAAGGGTGATAAAGACCATAACCTGAATGTGCTGAAGCGAAATTCGAATTATGCATTTAGTATGTTCGAAAAACTGAAAGTCGTATTGCCGAGTATTAAGCGTTCGCCCAGTAAAAGCTCACAGCCAGAGTGCGTGGTTGACGATGACGAACTATACGACACCGCCGGTGAATATGTGACCATAGCAGACATTAGCAACAACAATCGGCACAATCAACTGCCAACGGCGAAAGCCGTAGGTGCTAGCTCCCTTGGAATCTACTATTCCAATGACATAGTTCGTCGCAAGTTCTACGATGCATCTGCTTGCGCCGCCGACGCAACTACGAAAGCCAACGAGCCAGCTGCAGCGACTGTGGCGGCCAGAAGGCGCGACACAGAGTATGTTTCATTGAATGAACTACCCCAGCATTTGCGTAAAGTTGGTAGCAGCGCTTACAGCAGCAGTGCAGCGTTGAGTGCAACAGTCAACAATGAAATTACTGCTAGCAATAGCAATGCAGCCACGCTGGGGACGAATGCGACACAACAACAAACGCAGTGCGCAGAATCCGCACAACAAAGTTCATCGGTTGTTGAATCTGCCGTGCCCATGTATGCCGAAATTAGCGAAGTACGAGAGCAGTCTCTAGTCTCTCCGCTAACGCAACACAAGGGTGCTCGCGTGCGTCTAAATTCGCAGGGTAAAATTATTTACGAATCGGACAGCCTGAAGCGACGCAAGGGCGCGCACACAACATTCGCACCTGGACCGTATGTAAAAGAAACTGAAAGTGCGCTGCCCGAAATTACAAGTGTCAACGCACAAACGCACACACCGCCAGCACAGCAGGCGCAGCTGCAGTCCCAATCCCAGTCCCAGTTAGGCAGTGAAAGTGCAAACGCAGCGAAAGCGAATTCTTCCGTGTCGGCAAAAACAACAGCGGCCAAATTACTTTTGCTAAATGGTGGTGTAGCGGCGACCAGAAAAATCGCCAATGTGCGTCCCATTGTTGCATCATCACCACTAACGTTAGCCAGACAACAGCAGTCTCAGCAGGCGCAACATTACACCGGGCAGGCAGCCAATAACCGTTCGAATATGTCATTGTCGTCTGGCTTGTATGAAGAGCCTCGCTCCACATTGGCGTACAGCAGCAGTTATCAGGACAACAAGAATCTGCTCGCGAACAATACAAATCCATTTTTCCAATCGAACATCATTACGGCCCCAGCACCGGCGACAGCACTGATGATGCCCTCACCATCCACCAAATCTACTTCGTCCACGGGCTCCACCATATCGTCGAGCGCATCAACCAACACCAGCAGTGGCACTTCGAGTGCCTCCTCTGCCAAGGATGAAGGTAAGCAAAATTTAGACAATACTGGCAGCAACCCCAATACGCATAATATTTGTAAGAATACCATAACTCATTCTACTTTTGCATCAAAAGATACTATTCAACATCCCAAAGCTAGCAATGTAAATAACACCGAACGCTTACAGAACAGTACGATAGACGTTATAGACAATTTCAGGGAAATAGACGAAAATCTAGAAAAACCTCCAACCATAAATAACGCACAGACAGTAGCTGATATTTCTAGTGTACCTGATGAAAAGTCAGAATCCAAAGTTTCATTTGTAATACCCGAAAGTGAGCCGCACAGCCAACCCTTAGCGCAGCCACCGCACTACGATGTGCCCAAGGTGGTGGTGGAAAATCAAGAATCAATGGCCCCCACGCGCGCATCGTCTAAGGACATGCCCCCACCACTGCCGCCAAGGGGGAAAGCACAAATAAATGGCATAGCAGATGCTCGCAATGCATTTCCGTCTGCGGCCATGACGTCGCAAACAAACGTCAGCCACACGTTTCTGCCTCCACCACCGCCACCAACACTACACACATCCCCACCTACTGACTGTGCTGGCACAAACCGTATGCCCGCCGATGATGTTGATTTTGGCGTTAGCCAAGTCGGTACTACGAACTGTAGTAAACGAATATCGATTTCTGCAACTGTTGACCCAATTGCAGCAACGAGGCAGTTTTCCATTTCGACTGATGCAGTCGTAACGCCATCGCAATCGCAAGCGCCACCAACTCCAACTCCACCCCCACTCCTACTTCCTCCAACCACTCCTCGAAATGCACAGTCAGCACTGCCACTGCCATTTACATCAACGGCCACGCAGCGTCGCCCGCTGAAACGCAACAACAGCTATCGTCTTGCAAATGATGAGGTGAAGTTGGAAATGAACAAAGAAAACCTTCTGATCTATGCGGAAGACAACAATTTGCTAACACTGACAAAGGGCACTTTTCTGCCGCCCACACAGTACAGCAAAGGCCAACAAAATTCTGAAGCAAACAATAGTCAAAGCAATTCGCATACATTGCCGCATGCATCATCAGGTGCGATGAAAATTAAAAATGCCAACAATGCGCATGCTAAAGTAGCGGACAATGGCGACAAGGGCAATGGCCAACGAAAAATTGCAAAGTCTTTTGAACGTTTGGTGGATGAGTTTTCATTGTCCACAACTTCAATTGATTCTTCGTATTTACGCAATAAATCGTTGGAGAATTTCGATGATTCACCAGCAATATTGAATAATAATATTGGCGAACATAAAATGGAGCATGCAGACGTTGAAGACTCAGATAGTGAGGCTGAGCTGGAGTTGTCGCCGCCGCCGTCACATACCAAGTTCCACAAGTCCTTTGTGGAAAATGTATTGTTGAAGCCCTTCAAAGTTGTGCGACCGACCGATGAGAATGACATGCGGAGACGTAGAATTTTGCAGAAATTTGAAGTGACCGAAATTTGGTAGGAAACGAAAATGAATTAAAATTTTAAATAAGGATATTCCTTATACTTCGTAAAAAGTATTTTATATGGCTCAGCATATCTTACGCGGAGATTTTGCGTTAGGCAAAAACAGTTGAATATCTATAATGAATGGTCTCTCAGTGAGGCAGGGGAAGGCATCAACAGCTCACATTTCAAATGTAATCCTTTATTTTGGTTTAATGTTCCTTAGTTCATCATGTTGGCAACTTTTTTTTATTATCGTAAGTACTATACATATATCGTCCAATATTCAGTTATCGTGTTACTTTTAACCTCATTAATTTATGAATTACTGTAGCTCCTTCTTCTCCTGGATTGGCGCTGTACCCGCGTTTTTGGCCGAGTCCAACAAAGCACGCATTTCTTTTCACTTCTGTGCCAACAGGCAATAATTTGAAATGTCGNACCTCATTAATTTATGAATTACTGTAGCTCCTTCTTCTCCTGGATTGGCGATGTACCCGCCAAAGCGTTTTTGGCCGAGTCCAACAAAGCACGCATTTCTTTTCACTTCTGTGCCAACAGGCAATAATTTGAAATGTCATCTTTCCATCGCAGATGTAGCTTTCCTCTTACTCTACTCTAGCATTGTGATCCGCGTTGTACTGGAGCGTTTCGCTACATTCGTACGACATGAGCAAGCCAGCATAGCCGCTGTATTTTAATTCGCGGCATCATAAGAAGGGCGCATCATCCGAGACTTAGTTTTTCTTTTCATTGGGAAAGCTTTTTGCGTGATAATACTAAAAATACCTAGCGGATCTATTGTGCACTCTGCTCGAGGTGTTCTCGTCTTGTTCTAAAGTTCTAAGAAAATTTAGAGGAGCCTTTAGAACGTAGTTACTTGGGGAGTGATGTGCTTGACTTTTTGCCACATTGAGCTTAAACAGTTATCTCGTCCTCTTCCAGAGGTCTCACACTCAAAGAACAGGCTGAGTTTCGAAACCAACAGAGGTCATTTCAGCAGATCTCAAATTAATGCAGATGGTCTCTTGGTCTGCAAGTGCCCTGCGATCCATTTTTCTCTTATGCAGGTTAATTAGAAGGCTGTATCTCTTCCGGTTGTACTCCCTTGGAGTCGTGAGGTGCTTCCCCAGTATTGTCATTTCATTCCTGTGATTTTTCCTGATCGTGTTTGGATCTACTAATAGAAATTCCTCAGACCGCTGCCTTCTTGGCTAAACGTTCTCTATCTCGTTTCCTCGATGCCCTTGTGAAGCAGCCGTACCCGCATCATTATATTCTATCCAATACGATTGGCTGCCTACTCTTGTCAGATATGCGCGCATTATCCTTGTAATGCACTTGTATTGATCAGATCACAATGTGGGGGCTTATTAAAGGTACGAGTATCACGAAAACTTTGAAGTAATCTACATGACAACCAAACAATTTGCATGGGCCGAATCGTAATTCCGTCTTCCGTCAAAGTGCTAGCTTGAGTTGGTGATGCAGGAAGAGAGGTTACACGTTGCCATGGCAGTTACTAAATAGATTGTTATTATCTTTATATGTAAATCGAAGATAATATCAAGTAATCCATGTCGGAGCACAAGCAATTTCGCTCACCATATGTATATTAGGGTGCGTCAGCAAAAAAAAAATTTTTTTCACCGGAATTATACTATTTATTATATCTTTAGACTTCCCCATAAAATATTTCAAAAACATTGCAATTTACGTAGCCTGGTCTAATTCGAAAATACTTCCAGAAATCTCTTTATTTCGATTCCTAAGGAAAGGTTTTAAACATTTGTATGCAGACCCCAGAAATCTCTTCATTTCGATTCCTAAGAAAAGGTTTTAAACAGAGAAAGGTTTATGCAGAGCTTTTAAGCTTAAACTCTTCTAATATCACAGGCGATTTTTGGAAAAAATATTTTTTAAAAACTTTTATTTATTAAAAAAAAAAACGATTTTGTTAGGTATTTTTAAATTGCCCTGACTGGCGTAAATCTTAAAATTGTTCGCGAAATAGTTCGGCAGAAGTTTTAATATAACAATTCCGATGGAACAGTTCAAATTTTTTGTATGTTATGCGACCTAATGGGCATATGCAAAATATTTATATTTCTCCCATCTTCTTCAGAACTAACTCCTTCCGAGTTCGCGTGCGTTAAAAGCTAAGAGACAACTAGTTTTCTTAAAAGTTCCTTGCTACATGCAAGTTTGTAATCATTAATTGCCTTACTTGTGCACTTAAGGAACTTGCCACAACCGGAAAAGACGCATACATATTTGTAAGCGCTACACATATTAAAATGTGTACCGTTAAGTGCGCCCATGTACGTGACTGCTCACAATAGACTTCTGCACTTATTAAACATTTTATGAAAAAGTGTCAGCATTGTGATGCTAGTAACAAGGCTAGAACTAACTATGGGCTGCATAATGAAACGCTCACACACCAACAAGCTCTTGCGATAATTAACAAACTTACAAAATTGTCGCCTTTTCATATTCCTTTTGTGAGTTCACACTACGTCTACGATAATCGCCGACATTGTGGCATTCAAGTGTGATTCTAAACTTGACCTTTTTGTCATTGCCACTCAACGTTCGACTTGTGAATCTTTTTCTTAACTCTTCTTTGTAGCTGTAGTGGTTGTGGTCGATTACTTATTTTATTTTTTATGATTGTCTATTTTTTTATGTCCTCAACTGCAGTCTTTAGTGGGCTTTTGGATTGCATACTGCAATAAATAGGGTGCCAATTTCTATAAGAAACTTGTGGTAGATACACAAAAAAAAACCATAAAATTTTTAGATAACGAAAGATTAGAAAAAAAAACACTCTACTTCCCTAAAATGTCCAAAAAAAGACCTTGGTAGTCGATTTCTTTATTTCTAAATAATTGGTCATGTATTCGGAAGTTTCCTTATTGTCAAGGCAGAGTCCACATTCCGGCTCTCTCATAACACCTGTTCACTGCATATGAAATCGTAGTTAATTGTGGCCGTTAGGTACCCGTAAAGTAGCCCGATGTCATTTCTGCTCTGATCTATTGAAACAGTAGACAGAAAGCATTGCCTTGGAATGGTTCCGATCATAAAAAGGGTGTTAAGGATATATCTTGCGCCAACTCGTTAGCATCCTCGTTGCCTTCTATCCCATTGTGGCCCTGTACCCAGAAAAGAGTTACTTTATTTTTACAGCCTTTATTTAAAGCATATTAAATTAGGTTCTAACAAGTTTGGATTTCATCGTCCTGTTTTAGAGGGCCCGTATGGCAGCTAGGATATCTCAAAATTTAACAAGAAAAGCGCCCTTCAAACTCTTTTCAGGGTTAAATTTGTCACAGGTATGAATGGTTGAAACTTCAGCCTAAAACGCCGGGGGCCATCTGTCTATGGGAATGGATAGTTTGGTGTCGGTTCCATAGACACCGGCACCTACTCAGTAATCCATCCTCGACACGGCCGCGTACCAATGTAGGTATCTGAGATCAAGCACAGAGAGTCCGTTTGCCCAATCTTCGCGATCTGGGATTTTCACTTGGAACTT